GTAAGTGCAAAGTTCTAATTCCATGTTTTGAGAAAACAAGTTATTACATGTATATGTGTACCATAGACTTTGATATATAAACGTCTACGATGATAAATTCGAAGGCTAGCATTGAAAATACAATGAGCATAGTTCTATAGGTCGTATATGATTCAATAAATGACTACAAAGGTTCATGTAGACATCATTAACGTTTGGATGAGGTGAATGTTACGTCTTACAGAAAGAAACTGACCGATTTAGGTCAGGCACTCGACTCTACATCAACATGGTGAGCAAGCAGGTCATGGTGAGTAAGCGTCTTAGATTGACATTTCTCGTTAGGCAACCGGATCTGGCATGGAGAAGATATTATGATGTCAAACTATGCCTACTTCCATATAGTCATCATGGCCATTTGGCATATTTAAGTTTCTTGCTACTAAAATAATATTATGACGTATTCGTCATGGGGTGAATCTGGGGTGCGCCCCTGAGTTTTGAACGGCAAGGGAGAAAAGATCACTACACATGTTAAACTGGCAACTGCATAATAAGTACAATACCTGTTCAGGGGTCATTTCAGCGATCACGTCGTTTTGGAGTTAAATCTACTCCAAAATTATACTCAAAGTAATGGTTGAATGACTCCCTTGAGAGCGAATTTCATTTTTTGTTCGTTTATGTTGATTTTTGATTTTTAGTTATATTTTGATTTTTTAGTGTGCACGGGTTTGCACGCCGAAACGAAGTAATCCCTAAAAATTATTACTCCCTAAATGACCGTGCACTCTTACTTGTAGACCTGTTTATTAAGTGGATAGATATCTAGTCTAAAGCATGCGAAATGGCACCCCACCCCCCCCCCCCGGGTCCGGGGGAATACTTTCATCTTTATCAACTTCTTGATATTTTCAGTCTGTGGTGCATATTATTTTGCATATTCTTGGTAGGTCGGGTGAATTAGAAGTATTGAACGAGGCAGGACGAATGAGGAGGAAAAAAGGAAGAAAGCATAACTATAAAAAAAGAGTAAGCCTCATTAAGCAAAATTTAAAACAGACTGCACATGACACATAATATATATATATATATATATATATATATATATATATATATATATATATATATATATATATTCACATGATTAAAATGTTATTAAATATGCATCCGGTTGCCTTTATAAGTTATCATCAATAACTGATTTCAGATGTTGGAAGTCACTATTTAGTATGCGGAAATGTCGCCTCGTGTTTTTCATTTTATTTTCCTGTCTTTGTTGAAATGTCTACACACCAAAGCAAATTTGACATTATAATTTGATATAATCATGATTACAGCTAGTTTCTTTAAATAAATGTTAGTGAACCTCGGAACACATTTACAATTAATTCTCGTGATTCTGTCATCGTTATAACGCCCTTCAATGTACGAAGCAATAAAACAGTCTTATTTAAAACTTGTTTAGCAATAATATTGTATGATATGAGTATTTTCCTTTACAATTATGTGGTGGGCACATTTGGTGGCTACAATAATAAAGTATTCTATTAAAAGTTCTGTAGATTATATCATTAAATGTTGTAAATAATTGCATAATTTACTCCAATAAATGCTGTGAGAACGGAGGATACACAGGATTGAACAGGACAAATAATTTTTTATAAGCAAAAGGAGAGAATAACTGATAATTACGAGCAGCATATACGAATGATTATCAGGTGCGGTTCTATAGAGTGTTTTTTTTTGTGGGGGGGGGGGCGCTGGGGCTTAGAGATTCTTACTTTCAATTCCTATGTGTGTAAAAAAATGGGGGGGGGGGGGGGGAGTGGGAGGCTTGCAGAATTTATGGGGGGAAGGGTGGTGAGCTCCCCTGTCCCCTCTATAACCGAGAATGTATGAATAATGAATAAACAACTTATCTTCAAGAACTTTAACATTTTCGGCAAGTCATGCATAAATGCAACGCTTCCACGACCTGTGTAGCTAAAAGATAAATCTTGATAAAGCTGTCTTCTAACATATAGTTTGTCCCACGGGAGAGTTTAATCAGACTAGCCCCTTCTCTATTCACAACATGGCTCAATAAGATTATATCCAGTTCTTATTTCTGAATAATTGACATCTTTTTCCTTTTTGGCACAAGGTATATACTACGCAGGGCATTGACACCGTTACCGATGCTGTATGTCATTAAACAAAAATCCTGAAAGAAAGTCTTACAGTTGGAGAAAACACCAATTTTATGGGAAAATTTAGAAATATTGAAAAAGTAGTAATTAGACAGGGAACAGGAGGGGAGAACAGTATGCTTTGGGTTGAAGCACAACTGAGGATAAAGACTCCATCAACTAAGTCAGCAAATAGTCAGTTGTACTTGGTATTAGTGGAAGAAGGAGGAGATGGAGGAAGAAGAAGAAGAAGAAGAAGAAGAAGAAGAAGAAGAAGAAGAAGAAGAAGAAGAAGAAGAAGAAGAAGAAGAAGAAGAAGAAGAAGAAGAAGAAGAAGAAGAAGAAGAAGAAGAAGAAGAAGAAGAAGAAGAAGAAAAAGAAGAAGAAGAAGAAGAAGAAGAAGAAGAAGAAGAAGAAGAAGAAGAAGAAGAAGAAGCGAGGAAAAGGAGGACGAAGAAGCCCATGAGGGTATTATAGGAGGAGGAGAGGATGAAGAAAAGAAGAAAATAAATATAATACTCACAGTGGACATAGTCGCATTAAGTCAATTATCCTTTACAGTTCCTAGATTGCAATTTATCGGCATGAAATAAGTGTGAATCTCTATTATTTTAAATCATGTGAGTTTTATCAATTTTCCATATCTCCATTCTTCTATTTTAGAAGAAATCATTCACAAAATATGGCTCTATATATCGATTAAACTCAAGTCTACCCTGTTTGAGAGTGTTCCGGGCGTTCGCTGGCACTCTTGGGGGGGGGGGGGGGTACAAAACAAGTATTTAATAAAATAACTAATGATTAATTAATAAGTATAGAAATAATAATAATTATCTAACGTTTGGGGTAAAAAGTTAATCCCTAACCGATACCCGCCAACAAATGAATTGATCTCTCAGTCGAAATATAATGCCATCCACACTTATACTTGTGACCTGAGCCCCCTCAGTTTGGAAATCAGTCAACTATCACGGCGATGGCGTATCAAGACCTTGGCCTCACGAGGGGCAAAATATTTTTAGGCTTTATACGGAAATCCAAGGCAATCGTCACATTATAAAAAAAGGGGGCGCCTCATGACCCCTTGTCGTATAAGTTGCAACTTGCAAGTATGGCATCACTAGCCAATATACATAGTGTGCGAGGTTCTGTTGCGATCGAGCAGATTATCGTTCTTTCTTTTCAACTATGGTTATTGTATTTTAGAGTATGTCAATTTTCGTGCATTTTCAAGTACAGCCTGACAATAATAATTGACTTACAGTTTTTCTTCTCTGTCACAAATGCCCCATGCGCCTCCTTCAAATACGCTATATTAGTGTCAAATTGAACATAACGAGAACAATCATGATACATTATAACAATCCTACATGATCAATCTGCAGTAATTACGATCTGTGTTAATAATTATGCAAACATCATCCTAGTTAAATTGCCCAAGAAGCATAGCAACGATCTTTCCTTGATACGCCCCTACATTAGAGGCCCGGGCACGCCCCTGCATACTCTATATAGGTCAGCAGGTCCGTATTGTAGCCCCCTATAATACCAATAATATAAATGACAGCATCAACATAGGAGAAAGGGAGTGAGAAAGAGAGAGAGAGAGAAAAAGAGAGAGAGAGAGAGAGAGAGAGAGAGAGAGAGAGAGAGAGAGAGATGATTGGGAGAGGGGGTGGATGGAGGGATATCGATAGATAGAGAGGGAAATAAAGAAATGTGAAGGGGAAGGAATGTTGGAATAGGATGATAGAACCCATTGTAGATAACCATAGTGCGTATCTAGAAATAATTATGTGACTAAAGTGGTGTGTGTGATCACCCCTACTGGGGGTGGGGCGTGAGCGGGATATGGAAACACCAATGCTTCCATATCATGCCCGCTTTGCCCTTACCTCTCTGCCATTTCCTCATAAAATCGTGTACCGTCCCCAGTCTGACTTTTGTCCGAATTTAACATAACTGTGCAAGGGGCGTCGCGAAGTGAAGGAAGGGGGCGGGGGGGTATTCGGAATGTGAATTTAAAATAGTATTGTCTGACATGTTTTGTTTTGACTTTATTCAAATATGTCATCATGACTGTATAATATGTATGTCAATCAAACCTTCATTTGTGTGTTCTTTTACGGGGGGGGGGGGGGTGCTGCATTTTGATGGGATGGGTAGCCCTTATATTCTAGTAGCCTAATTCCTTGAACTATAACAACAGCTTTCATAATTTCGAATAACTAAAATCTTGTGTTACTTGTGTTATCATATAGGAGAAAATAGGGCCTATTATATAGGCCTACATTTCCCGAAGAAACCCTCCGAAACTAATTTACTATATTGGTAAATGATAAGGGGTGGAATCAAGTGGAATTTAATTCTTAAATAAAAGTATGTTCGAGGGCCGGTTATTTTGCGTTTCCGTCTAATAGGAAAGAACTGTTTGACTTGAAGTGTTTCTTTCTCCTAAGTTATACTTAAAACTTGAAATTCGTGAGAAGTGGCCTGCACATACCTCGTTTAATTCCTTCTACTATCTCAACGTATAATTTAAAAATGGGAATTTCCCTTTTGCGAGCAGAAAGGTGGATAGACTTCAACTGAAATGAAGATTATGTTAATATAAATCATGCATATACGTTATTAGGAAAGCCTTCTGTGTGTGTGTGTGGGGGGGGGGGGGGGGGGGTCCTCCAGGATCGCCGTCTACAATATCCATCAGTAGCGAGCGAGAGATGTTAGAATTTCATAAAAAGGGCGTGGTCATGTGATGAAATTTCGTTCAAATAAAAGCTGTAATTCAAGGCTACACAATTAAGTGCATGTATGTGAAACGCCCGTCGACTGGATGACCTTTTGACCTGTCAATGCAATTTGTGCGGAAACATGGCGGTGGACAGATAGGTATTTACGTCCACCGGTATCATCATACTTCAAGACCTTTTTCTAATTTACTTTTATATAATATTGGTTCCTTCGTCATTCAGAATTCAGCATGTCTCTAAACAGAAATACCGGTTCATTCAAATCGTATTTGAATGAAAGTTTGTACGTAGCAGAAGAGGAGAAAAAGAAACAGAAGGTAAGCACAATTTACATTGTTGTCACTCCCACTGGCACTGGCACTGCAAGTAGTGGTACTGGTAGCGCACGGGCATCCGCGACGATTCTACGGCTCTTTCCTACCCACTAGCTTACCGCATCCCCGGCCGCCCGGATCGGACCGGGGCGGGCCGCGCCGGGCCCATGGTGTCGACTGGCTGGTATTGGATATTGAGCAGCTGGACTATATATTTGCACGATCTACGTCTGAACTTTGAAGATTGTTATTTTGATATTACTCCTACATGTATGAATATGATGCAGCATTGTCATGATTGTACTGTAGTCTGACTGTAGGAGATGCTGATGAGACATCTGTGGAAATGTATTTATATACTTATTCGGCTGGTGTGGTTGTTTTGTAGGAGCCTGCACCTGACACTAAAGCATATTTATTTTTGTTTTAAAAAAAACCTTTAATTTTAAAAATATTTGTTGGTCTTGTTTTGTTTGTTTGTTTTTGTTTTTTGTTGTGCAATAAATACAATATTTGGTCATGTTTAGAATTAGAGTGGTGTTGGCTATGGCTTTGGTCCTGGTCCAAAAAAGCCAAAGTTAAGATCTGCATCTGTGGCCTTTAAAATCCTAATCCCCCTTGTCAGAATCAGATTATCACTTGCACAATAGCCATATAAAATATGCGCCTAGGTGATAATATGAAATATGATATTGATATTGCCTAACCTTAGCACCCATACCCCTGCACGAAGAGGGTACTACATGTAGGTAAACAAGCACCCCTTCCCGCACCACACCCGACAAACATTGCATACAGGCTTCAGAGTTTGCTAGTAGACACTTCTTTCTTCTTATACAAAGCACTTTGAAATCAGTCAATAATTTAACCAAAAATATGAGATTTTGATACCGGAGTAATCACGATTTGCTTCCTTTCCACATGTTCCTGATGATAATGAGTTAACGTGCGATTTACATTCAAGAAACACTGATCTCTTTACCGGTAATACCAGAGTTCGCAATTTTGGTTCTGCCTAAAATGCAAATACATGTAGAGTACACAAGAAAATATGTTTTCACGTTGACAATTTTATACTTTTTTAATACTTACGGTGATAGGGATTAGAGTAAAATTGCGCGCGAGCAGGGAGTTCGCTAAATTCAGCGAACTCTGTGCGTGCACCTATATGTAAGTATGCTAAACTAATCACTTTCATCAATATCAATATCATACATGTACATACATAGACTATTTCATATTATCACCATGCCCTTATTATTAGGCTATCCATACATGCATGGAAAACCAAACCTGATAAAGCAGCCATTGTTCCTAGAAACAAATGCCACAGCAATGGCTTAAAAGTGGGTAATTTACACTTATATTCACATACATTTGTACACCTGTACATACCCCAAATATACCCAGGATAACTTGCCGTCTCTCACGTCGTATGAGTGACTAGATACAGCAGCGACTTTGAACAATATGCTAGGATTGTCAGTGCATGTTCTTGAATGTGTGTGTCAGTGTTAAAGAAGCGAGATCACTGGCTGCCATGAGCATGGGATGATAATAAAAAGCTGAACATGTTTACTTGATCAAGATGATGTAGAGAATTAGAGATGGTATCATATTGACCTGATGTGTTATGATTATCCTACATTAAAAAAGTACTTGAAAAAGTTTGCAGATTATGCTTGCTCGTAAAGAGATGATCACATTGTACACATCATGTCAAGCTTGGCGATTAAGGAGTGTAGTATGGTTGATAAGGTATTGATGATGAGAGCTGTTTTGCTCTTGCAGGACATTTCAGTGATTGATTTTTTTTTGGTAACTTTATAGAGCATGCAATAGTTTTATGACAAAACTGGTCATTAATTTTTTAAAACCAGTTTTAAGAACAAAAAGTTTATGACTTGGCCCTCATTACAACTCTTCTCTTTTTCTTTACTACCATGCAGCCTGCATTACCAAAGCGAACAAGTACTGTTCTGCATCGCATCATCCCGTCTGTATTCAGAATCATAGAAGACTCCAGCAAAGATGGTGATGTAGTAAAGACGGACCCTCCTCGACTGCTTGATGGTAAGACTAACTCATGATAGTGAAACAAAAACATAGACGTCTGCTACACAATATTAATATGTAACAACAGGATACATAAAAATAATAACTAGTTCTACATGTAAAGGATGGAAAGTATAATAGGACTGACTGGGTAATTCCCTCTGTATCGTTGCCAAACCGTAAAGTTAGGAAATTTGGCATTTAAAGCATTAATTTTTGCCTTTGGTAAATTCTTTGTTCTTTTTTGGGTGGACAAAAATGACTCTTGCTATGTGCTGCCCTCTTGTTGCTGAGAGGGGAAATCTGTAAACATGTATGATATCTTATGACAGAGTTCCATCAGGATGGTTGTAATTAATGATTTTAAAGTTCTTTTATCACATCCAAAGGGAAAGTGTACCTGTAACAGTATCGATGTCTAGAAAAGACCTACTAGAAATCAGACATCTTCCTTCCTCAGATGAGAATTGGAAAACTTAAGTAAGCAGCCTGTTTATACCAGCTGTCTGACATACAGGGAGCATTAATCGCCAAAACGACAACCACTGGCGATCAGAAAATTGGCTGCTTACTTCAGTCTGCCGAATAGGAACAGTCACAAAACTGTCTGAAATTAATCTAATAGATTTTTTATGTCAAGGGAGAGTTTTAATAGATGAAAATTGAACAGCATCAAAACATTAGCCAATTGGGATTTGATGAAGATGGTGTAGTGCAATATTTGTTTCTAAACAAAATAATACTCTCCATTCGTTGTTTCATCGTACACGTACTCTACCCAGGTAACTTATATTGATTAGCAGTTGTGTTTACATTATTTCAATATTGGCTAAGTTGTAGAATACTGGGTAAGTGATAGTTTTGACACTCTCACTTGTTGTATACTTATGCACTTTGGAAGGTTTTCCAGTTTCTCAATATGACTGGTAGAAACCAATGGGATTTGATTACATCAGACAGTACACCAAATATACAGTATGTGTTTAAATATAATTTGTGAGGCAGATGTGGTGATATACATTTAATGAAAAAGTACAAACTGTGCGCCATTTAGGATGAGCAGACAATGGAACACCTTCTAATCTGGAATTGTTCAACCCGAATGCTAGATTCTACATTGTATGACTTAATACCGAGTGTAAACCTACTTGTACATTTTAGATAAAGGTTCAAATTTCAAACTTGATATAAACTAAATGTATATACATTTACCAATTTGTACCTGCTATAATCATCATCTGAATGTTTACGTTTACAGCTGTGGTTTGCTGTTTATAAAATCGAGGTGACTGGTTATGATTGACATTTGATGTGTTGGGTTGTTGCCTGTCCCAGCATGCCCTTGTCACAATTTCACATAGAAACTTGGCACTCTGTGTGTGGATGGGCGGGGCTGTGGCCTTTAGTTGAAATGTGGGCATCTAGAATGCATCACTCAGCCAGGAGATGTAATGATATATACGCAAACACAAACATATTTACAAAATATGTTAAATGTCTTTGACATGTTTTGACATTGTCTTGGAATAATGTTATGATTTACAATTAAATTTCTATAGTAATATTACTTTTTGTTGTAAACAAGCCTTAGATGGGAAATTTCATTGATATCATCACAGTCATTAGGAAATGTTTAGAGCTTTTGAATATGTTGTAAACAATGTACATACATGTACTGTATGTATCTAGCCGTCTACATTCATGTACATTTCATGTACCTGTATGTAAATATACGTTGTACATAATGTAAATGAAGTGGAGCTACAGTGTGTATCACCCCAAGAATTGAAGAGAACATCTGAACAGATAAACTTTTATTTTAGCGTTCAGTTAAAGAGAAGGTTGAGTTCTTGGGAGAGGTGAAACGTTTTCATTGGTTATTTTGCAAGTGTGGAAGAACAACAGAGAAAAAATGTTCCCTGAAAAGCATGGCTCTTCAAATGCCTTCATATTCTTTCATATTCTAAATATGACATGTAACAGCTTATAGGGATAGTTCATTTCTGTTGCAGAGGGCGCTACACAAAACAATTTTTTTGTGAGGTAATGAAAAACTGGGTGTCAAATTTGAAAGAACATACAATTTAAATGACAAAATCATCTTTGTTTGATCAAAATCAGTTCAGAGACGGCTAAAAAATCCATAAATATAATAATTTCTAATACTTGTATACCACCACAAATATTACATGATTTGAATCAGCCGTTGAATGCTGTTGAAAAGACAAAATAGCGCCTTTTACGTTGAATTTCAGGCAATGGCGATGTTGGCTTTTTTGTTGGCTTTTTTGTGTTGGTTATATTACGCACAATCAGGTGGCCCATGTATTGTTATTATTAATTTATTAATTAATTAACGGTCACCGTATTTTTGTTAAAGTAGAGCTGAATTGGTATGATCGTATTGGCTAAATTTCACACATTTTGGGGTCCAAAATTACTTTCTTAGCAATTTTAGGTCCTAAAAGGGCACTAGAAATGTCATACCGGTAGATAAGAATAAGAGCAATAACCATGCATTTGCGATATGAAAACAGAACTCAACTTTCCCTTTAAAATGAGGACCTCATTTTTATGTCACATGTTTATGTACTGTACATGTACAGTGCTTGTCAGGCCAAATAAAAAAAAACAACATGTTTTGCGTCCTGCCTTTTTGAAAAATAGGAAGGAGGAGGCCCTTTTTTTCTTCTTTGTTTTCTTCAAAATGGCCGCTCAAAATGGCCGCTTGGTACATTTTCCCTGACAGTCGGGCTATTTTTCAAAATGGCCACCAGCATTTTTTTTTGTTTAAATCAGAAATACCGGTAGATCATTTTAGCAGTGTTTTTCATGTTTTTTTATTCAAAAAAAAAAAAAAATTATTACAAAAAAAGAAAGAAAAAAAGGAGGCAGCCCCCAAAAAAGGAAGCGGGCGGGGACGCTAAATATGAATATTTTTTACTTGGCCTTTCTTTACCAAGACTGGGCCAAATTTCTTATCATTTTGATGATTTCAGTCCCTTACAGTACACACCAATACAATATGCTACATGATCAACTTTTTCTGACCGAACCACACCCGATTCTTTCACAATGCAATCACATGACTAGAACTCAACTTCATCTTTAAGGAAGAAGGGGAAAAAAATATTATGAATTTACTAGCAGACAGTTCCTTCTAACCTCTCAAGGATCAAATAATCAGTACTTCAGTGTGTCAGGTTTTTTTGTCGCTCTCCTTGATCTGTTATTACATAGTCATCAATAATGATACACATGAATTGTGGTTCGATAGTTGCTCCTTCAACATTTGTGAAAGGTGAGATTTAGGGTTAAGGTTGTGATTTGGTTTTAGTGATGTTTAGTTTACATGTAGATATACTAGATGGTACATGTATGGTGCTCGGTACAGGCTTTATGTTAGGAATACATTGAGTGTACAGTGTACATAGGAAATTGGACACAGAGCAGTTGTCGCTTTATGTACACATGTAGCAAGTGTTGTAGAACTAAATGCATTGCAGATATCTTGAAATTGGACACAGAGCAGTTGTCGCTTTATGTACACATGTAGCAAGTGTTGTAGAACTAAATGCATTGCAGATATCTTCTCCAAATTCCACGTACATGACTCCGGATATATAGTGATCTAGCCTTCTCTTCATTTGCTCCATGCCTCTGGAACTCCTTCCCTCTTGTTCGTTGCAACACCGACAAGCTAGAAAGTTTCAAAGCAGGCATCAAAACCCATCTTGTAGAGTAAGTACATGTAGTCCATTTAACTATTGGAGGAGCGGGCAACTTTGAATGTTTTAAACAGAGAAATAGCGCCATAAGTGTGATGGATCATCATCATCATCATCATCATACATGTACAGTATATGGGGAAGAGGCATGCTCACCATCCTCTCTTTGCATCGACTCTCAAAAAAAATTGCTTGATAATTACACTCTGAAACCAATTACCTACCATCCTGAAGATAGCTCCATCTGTTGACCAGTTTAAGAAACTCCTGAAATCTTTTATTCCTATGAAATGTGGACTTTTATTATTTATACCAGGTATTGGCTAAAGTGGTCTTTTAAAGGGATCTGCTATTGTTTGAGTGGCAGACCTATGAGGATGATGAACATGTAAAGTATGCAATGCATAATTTGCCCAAACATGTACATTGTACTGTACATTGCATTATAGATCATATGATCCCTCTCAGGAGTCAGGATATGATTTATTTTTAGGCTAAATTGATCACATAATGTTCTTTAAATTGGCATCAAAGACATTTTTATTTTACTGAGCACACCGTAGCTGAAATAAAATATTATGTGCGAGGGTGTTGTCGAAAAGATGAAAAAATTGCCAAATATTGATTAAAAAAACTAAGATTTTGAATCTCTCAATGTTTATTTTCCTTTTTTAAATTCATACCGTCAAATGCGATATAGTGATGAAACAAAAATGGATGCATTGCGTGCAGATACCTACCGGTATGCCCTTTCTACTCAGGCATCTGGCTTATTGTTTACAGGCTTTCATTCTCTGAATCAAAAGTTATTGAGCCAAACCACAAAATTTTGAATGATTGTTGCGGAAAGGGTTTAGGACTCTTTGTACCAGCAAGGGGAAGGAGGTACATGTGAATGAAATACCCTACGGGTCGGATCCGTATAGGTTGGATCTGGTCATTAAGCCTGTCCTTATCGGCTAGAGTTTGTCAAATAACCCATTATTTTCAGACTCTGGATATTATCCCGAAGCTCGAAATTGCGTCTTCACCAGACTGATACGCTCATAACAAACTAGCTCAGAAGGCCGCAAATTAGCCTGCTATTTCCTAAATAGTGGGATATTTTGGAAATGAGACCAAGATTTCTTGGGATATTTTCTCAACCAAATATCCCGCTAATTGCGACTGCGGGCTGATGAAGACTAATCTTCGATCGGGATAGTTAAAATGGCGGATTGATTGGCAAACTTGAGCTGATGAAAACAGACCTATAGAGGCAATAGAGCATTAGAGCATGAGACAAGATAG